TGCTGAGGACAGTCTGGGTGAAAGGATGGCCCTGCTAGGATTGCAGGCGGCTGGCAAAAGAGGACAGTGCGGGCTCGTTGGCGACTCCCTGGACCAGGAGCGGCCGACGAGACCAGGGGGCACCCTAGCAGCCACCTCCGCGTGCACCAGCGCCACCGCCAATTAACGCGCGGAGTACGAACTCCGCACCTCGAGTGAGGAGGATAGCCGAGAGGGAGGGAAGGAAGGATGGGGCGATCGAGGCGCCTGGCGCTTGTCAGCCTGCCGCGCGTGGACGTGGATGCTGCCGCTTGGCGGGCCCGAGGGTCCATTCGGAGAGAATTGATGTGTGCAGCTGGCCCGAATAAGCTGCACCTCAATTCAGACAGCGACAATCGCACACGACCGAAAGACAACGTACATTGCACGGAGGTCCCGAAACGCAAGAACATGCAATAGCCCTGGATTCGGGGGCTCGCGAAACAACCGCACACGTAGAAGGGCTGTCCTGCGAACGCGGCCGAAGCTCTGGCCGCCAACCCGTGCAGAGAGGGGGAACAGGAAGGGAAGGAGGACGAGGAGGCCGAGGAGAGGAGAGGGGGAGGAAGCGAACGATCGCCTCCGTCGAGCGTCCTGGGGCTTAGAGCCCTGCCTGGCCACATCCCGCCGGCCACCAGTCCTATTGTGACTAGCGTGCGGCACGCATCCAAGTCCTAGCAGCACGAATACACCGTGTACGGCAACGGTGTGCGTAAATCAAATGCTGCTGCCCCAAAGCCCCCCCCCACATGGGGGGCCGCAAGACCGAGGAAAGGGGACCGACCCCCGACGACGACGACGACGACGACGACGACGACGACGACGACGACGACGACGACGACGACGACGACGACGGGGGAGGGGGAGAGGAAGGAGGCCAAGAAGAGGGGGAAACGGAAGGAGAGGGGAAAGAGGGAGGGAGCGGCCCCCCGCCCCCGGGCGTGGGGCCCCCGTGGGGAGGCAGGCGGCCGGCGCCAGCTGGCAGCCAGCCAACTGGGCCGGACAAGTCGTGTTATCAGCCACGCGGCGGGGGCATCAAACAGCCCACCAAGGATCCCAAATCGACGGGCTGGCATCCCCAAAAACCGTCGCACGAGAGGGGACGAGGCGAGGGAGAGGACAGACGAGGGAGCGAGGGGAGACAAACATGCTGATGATACCGACTACTACTCTATACGCGACGTCGCCTCCCAGAGAGCTCCCCGGAAGGCACCGTCCAACTGTTCGCTAGTAACGCGCCCGTGCCTCAGTGAGTTGTGGATCCCGTACAGAGCGTATAACGCCCTGCTCCACGCGATGATCTCCGCGTCTGGCCAGTCGAAGCCCAGGAACGGGTCCAACTCCCGCCCCGCGCGCGGCGGCGTCAGCCCGGCGCCTGCTGCCAGGAGCTGGCGCACCACTGAGCAGTGGGCGAGATGCTGCACCCCGTCGGGCCTTCCACCGCCACCGACTAGACAAGGAGCTTGGCCGTGAGAGCAGCGGCTGGGGCACCGGCCACCACAAAAAGCGCCCGCAAATAAGCAGCAGTGACCCGAGGCGCGCTGCCCGCCGCCACGCGCTGTAGCCGCGCAAGAGCCCGGTGCACCCTGTGCCCGGGAAGAGTAGCGATTGGCCAACGGTCCAGTCGGCGTCGCAGATGAGGCCAAGGCAAGCCGTTGCCGCCCGTCCGGCACGCGACGGTCACCCGGACCTGCCAGCCCGCCCGCTCATCCAGGCGCAAGCCGCCGCGCGGCAGCCGCGACAACCTGGCCTGCACCTGGAAGTCTGCCTCGGACAGCTGGAGCAACAAGCATCGCGAGCGCCATCGCAGTAGCCAGGCCTCGCGACCCAGCGTCTGGTCGTCTCCCTGGCTGGTCAGCCCCGCCATTCGCGCAGCGCGCCGATGCACGTCCAAGCACCCGCCGTCCTCGAACCGGACCACCCAGGCCTTGGCGGCGAGCGCGGTCGCCTCCAGGCCTTTTAACTGCCACGGCATGTGGAGGTCCCGCAGGCTCTTCAAGCAGTCGGCAGTCATCCACCCCGGCGGGCCAGTGAAAATGGCCCTGCAGGCGCTTTGCTCCGCGGCCGCGAACTCGGGCGGCACCGCGTCGAGCTGCGACACGAAGAGGAGGACAGAGGCCACGTAGATGCCGTAGGCGCGCGACGTGAGGCCCCGGCACCGATCTGTTTCCAGGTGCGAACCCTCTCTGCATACTTGGCCATCGGGGCAATCCACGTGCGATGCCCGCGGTCAGGGCCGAGGTAGAACCCCAGGTACTTCGCCGAGCCGGCAATGCCCAAGCTGCCCCACTGTGCACCGCCGCCGCAAGCTCCCGCCGGAAGTCAAGTTCAGTGAAGGGATCAAGGGGCACCAACACTGTCTTGGGGACATTGAGGCCGAGCCCCGATATCCGGGCGAAATCAACGAAGAATGCCTGCAACGCGGGGGGCCTCGGCAGCGCCCCCGGCAGCACCATGGCCAGGTCGTCGGCGCAAGCGCGGAGCGTGGCGCCGTGGCAAGAGACGGGCGAGCCTGCACAGGTAGAGGCCGGACACAACAGCGAACAACAATGGTGACGGAGGACATCCTTGGCGAATGCCTCTCGTAATCTCCATGCCAGCGTGAACCGAGCCGCCCAGCGCGATTTGGCAATGGTTGTGCCAGTACAAACTGCCGGTGAAGCTGAGGAGCCACGCCAGCCACCCGAGTTCGCGGAAAAAATGCATGAAAAAGCCCGTGCTCGATCGACGGGAAGGCCGCGGCGAAGTCGAAGAAGAGCGCGCACGCCCCCTCCGCCCGCATGGCTCGTCAGGTAGTCCTCGTAGCTCCGCCATTGGGTCTGCTCGCGGCGGTCGTTGTTTAGCGCCGTGGCTAGTTAGCTCAACAGGTGGTCCTGGTAGCTGCACTGGTGGCCCTCGGAGGTCTGCTGGGGGTCCTTGCAATTCACTTCGCTGGCCTGCTAACTCCGAGGGGGCTCCCGTAGTTCTGCTTGTGGCCCGCCTGGCACAAGTTGTGGCTCTCGTAGCTCCACAGGTGGCCCTCGTAGCTGAGGTGGTGGCTGTCGGAGTTCTGCTTTTGGGCCTTGCAGCTCAGGTCGTCGCCCTCGAATGTTTGTAGGAGACAATGTGGTTCCGCTTGTGGGCCTCGAAGACCTGCTTGTGGCTCACGTAGGTCACCTCGCGGTCCTCGTGGCTCTGCTTGTGGCCTTCGCGGCTCTGCTGGTGGCTCTCGTACCTCGCAGGTAGGTCTTGAAGCTTGCTTTTCTGGTGGCTCACATGGCTGCGCGCGTGGTCCTCCTAGTTCAGCCTGTGGCCTCCGAAGGTCGTCCGGTGGCCCGAGTAATTAGCTCTGCTGTTGGCCGTAGCAACTCAAAGGGCACGTTCTCTTCGTAGCCCGAGAGGTCCCAATAGGAATAGTTGGCTGCCAAGTCGTCGTGTTTCACTTGGTGGAAGCCGGAGTAGTCCCGGGGGCTGTAGGAGTACAGGTCGCTATCAACAAAAACTGTCTTGTCGTACTCTTCGTTAGCAGTGCGGCCGTAGTCGTACTTGTCGGATGCGGCGCGGCCGCTGTCCACAGGCACCTCCACGACGACGCACTGGATAACCAGTTCAGGCTGCTCGGTCGTGCCGTTGCTGGTGTCGGTCCTCGTGGGGTACTTCGTGTCGCCATGGTGGTGGTGTTCGTCTTTGGGCTGCCTGTTGCGCAGATAATTATCGTACTGGGGCTGCCTGTTACACAGCTCATTCTTGCACTGGGGCTGTCTGGGACGCTCTCGCGGGGGCGGTCGTAGCAATGATCAGCATGTCGTCGGGTCGAGACTGCATCCCATGGCGGACGTTGTACCCCACTTGTTTTGGGTCGCGTCCGTTCGCGCCAATGTCCCTCCATGCGCGCATAAGCTCGGAACTATTGCCGGTACGTCTCCACAGAAGTGGGTGAGTCTCTTTGCCTTGTGGTTCAACAGTGGTGGTTGATGCTGTGGTCGCGGTAAGTCTCCTTTTCGCGGGCGTTCTCCCACAGGCGGCTGTTCTTGTAGTCGCAGCTGATTACCAAAAAGTGGATGAATCTGTGAACCCAGAAGATGTTGTAGACTGGGTACGCGTGCAACCGATCGCGGCCACACCCTGGAGCTGCCCCCTGGACCAGGCGCGGCGGCGAACGGCCCCAGGGCCACATGGCATTCCTCCTCCTCCGCCTCCTCCTCCTCCACCTCCTCCTTTCTTTCTCCTCCTCCTCCTCATTATTTTCCTCCTATCCCTCCTCCTCTTCCTCCTCCTCCTCGTCCTCCTCCTCCTCCTCCTCCTTCTCCTCCTCCTCCTCCTCCCCCTCCTCCCCATCTTCCTCTTCCTCTTCCTCCTCCTCCTCCTCCTCCTCCTCCACCTCTTCCTCCTCCTCCTCCTCGTCCTCCTCGTTCTCCTCCTCCTCGTCCTCCTCGTCCTCCTCCTCATCCTCCTCAAACTCCGCCTCCTCCCTCGACCCTCGCACTCTTTTTATTATTACCGTCAGTATTATTACTCCTCCTCCTCGTCCTTCTCCTCCTCCTCCTGCTCATGTTCCTGCTCCTCCTCCTCCTCCTCCTCCTCCATTTCCTTCCCCTCTTCCTCTTCCTCTTCCTCCTCCTCCTCCTCTTCCTCCTCCTCTTCCTCCTCCTCCTCCTCGTCCTCCTCGTCCACCTTCTCCTCGTCCTCCTCGTCCTCCTCCTCATCCTGCACCTCCTCCTCCTCCTCCTCTTCCTCCTCTTCTTCTTCCTCCTCCTCCTCTTCCTCGTCCTCACCCCTCCGTACTCCGAGGAGACATGTGACGGCATGACTCGGCTGGGGAGGAAAGGGCGCGGCGGCACAAGCTCGACCAAGATGGGGTGAGAGAAGAGGCCCTTGTCCCAACAAGAGAGCAACGGGGCGCTTGGCCGGTCGAACTAAGCGAGGCAGCGGAGAATGGCGAGAAGTAGGAGGAGGACGAGGAGGAGGAAGGAAGAGGGGGAGGGGGAGGAGGAGGAGGAGGAGGAGGAGGAGGAGGAGGAGGAGGGGAGGAGGAGGACGAGGACGGAGGAGGACGAGGAAGAGGGCCGTCCCATTGGCCCCACCCGGTCTCCTGTTCTTTTTGCTGCTGTCGTTGCTCCTCCTGCGCTAACGTGGGGCCGAGACCAGCCGACGCGCCATTCCGGGCAACGCCCGTCAGACGGCCGGCCGCCTGGCGAGCTCGTCCGCCTGGTACTCCTAGGCGAGGTGGGGGGGCCGAGGATAAGGACGAAAGCGAGGGGAGCCGGCCAAGGGAATTTCCAATATTTCCGCCATCGCACAGTGGCATCGAGCATGCGACGCCCCGCTGACCTTGGCCAAGGCAAAGAGGCGTTCTGAACAGGACGAAATACTTTACGAATAACGCATTCCACCCCCGTGAAAGCCGTGGCGCCGAGTGACCACCATGCAAAAACTGCGGCCGAACGACAGGAACGCGACAGGGACGAGGTGGGGGGGGGGAAGGGGGCTGGCGAAGGAGGAGGGAAGGACGCCGGGGGGGGCGTGGAAGAGGAGAGGCGGGGGGCGCTGCGAGGAGGAGGGACGGGGGCGGGAGAGGGAGCAGAAAGGAGGCAAGAAACGATAGGGAGGGGGAAGGAGGCGAAGGGGGGAGGAGAAAACCAGTCGAGACCTTTGGAGCCGCCACGAGCTGTGGCCGCCGTTGCGGCGGGTGCGGGCGCACGTCCCGCGCCGCGCGGGCCTCCGCTCTTCTCCACAGGCGGGTGCCCTATGGGCGCAGGCATGCGCCCCTCCTCCTCTGTGGCGACCTCCGCGCCTCCTCCCTCTCCCGACGCTGCTGGTTGCGCCGCCGAGTCAAAACTCGCGGTGGCGAGGAAGTAGGCGACCTGGTCTTCCAGGCGCCCTCGGTGTCTCCTCGAACGCCTCCTGCGCCTCGCACTCTGGGCCTCCCAGCCGCCTCGGAAGTCGCGGGCGTCCTGGTTCCACCCTCGCTCTGGGCCCGCTCTGGCGTGCCTCCCCGGGCCCCTTTCTCGGCGGTGGGCGGTTGGGTCCCTGCGTCGGCGAGGAGGCGGGCGACCTTGTCCTCCGGGCGCCAAAGTGCCTCCTCGTGCGCCTCCTGCGCCTCGCGCTCTGGGCCTCCCAGCCGCCTCGGGGGTCGCAGGTGCCCAAAGCCCACCCTCACTCGGGGCTCGCTCTCGCGCGCCTCCCCGGTCCCTTCCTTGGCGGCGGGCGGCTGGGTCCCAGCGCTGGCGCCCCCGGTGCCTCCCCTCTGGCCGCCGCGGCCATTGCGCCTAGCGCGGGCTGCGTCGTGTTCCTCTTCCGCGTCTCGCCCATCAGGCGCGGGCGCGGGAACGCTCGAGGGTCGCGAGTGTCCTCGCCCCACCCCCGCTCGGACCCGCCCTGGCGTGCCTCCCCGAGCCCGTGCGGTGGGCGGTTGGGCCCCTAAAGCGGCGAAGAAGTGGGCGACCTTGTCCTCCAGCTGGACGGGGTAAGGAGGAGGAGGGGAGGAGGAAGAGGAGGAGGAGGAAGAGAAGGAGGAGGAGGAGGAGGAGGAGGAGGAGGAGGAGGAGGAGGAGGAGGAGGGGAGGAGGAGGAGGAGGAAACGGAGGAAGAGGAGGAGGAGGAGGAGGAGGAGGAGCAGGAGGAGGAGGGGAGGAGGACGAGGAAGAGGGACGAGGAGGAGGAGGAGGAGGAGGAGGAGGAGGAGGAGGAGGAGGAGAAGGGTGAGGAGGACGAGGAGGAAGAGGAGGAGGAGGAGGAGGAGGAGGAGGAGGAGGAGGAGGAGGAGGAGGAGGAGGAGGAGGAGGAGGAGGAGGAGGAGAGGAGGAGGAAGAGGAGGAGGAGGAGGAGGAGGAGGAGGAGGAGGAGGAAGAGGAAAAGGAGGAGGAGGAGAAGGAGGAAGAGGAGGAGGAGGAAGAGGAAAAAGGGAAGGAGGAGGAAGACGAGGAGGAGAAAAAGGAAGAGGAGGAGAGGGGGGGGAGGAAGAGGAGGAGGAGGGGAGGAGGAGGAGAGGAGGAAGAGGAGGAGCAGCAGGAGGAGGAAAAGGAAAAGGAGCAGGAGGAGGAGGAGGACGAGGACAAGGAGAAGGAGGAGGAGCAGGAGGAGGAGGACGACGACGAGAAGGAGGAGGTGGAGGAGGACGACGAAGAGGAGGAGGAGGCGGAGGAGGAGGAGGAGGAGGACGAGGACGACGAGAAGGAGGGGGAGGAAAACGAGGAGGAGGGCAGGACAGGACAGGACATCCGCAGAAGGGGGTCAACGTCTGGTGCCTTGCGCGCGTCTGCCAAACTTCCCTGCGACCTGGTTGCGCAGCAGCCCTGACTTCTCTCCGGGGCCGGCAAGGGGCAAGCCCCGAACGTTCGAGGGGCGAGCTCCGAAGTGGCCCCGTAAGAGAGGCACGCTCCCTTGTGAGTGCGAACCCCTGCGGGTCAGCGCGGGGGGGGGGGGGGGGGCGCAGCTGTCGGCCCCTCCGCGTGCCCGTGAAATGGGGGACGCGCTGGGCGAGCAGGGCTCCCAAGCTTGGAGGGATAGACGACGACGCGACCTCGCAAAATGCGAAGAGGAGGATCATCGGGAGGCCAATGCTTTCCAAATTTGTGCTGGGGGGTGCCTAAGTATCCTACTGGTTTTATAGTATCATAATATAGTTTCTTTCTCTCGTCTCACTTCTCTTCCGGTCGTGCTGGCCGATGGTTGGCCCGTGCATTGTCGCATCACTACCCTAGCGCGCTGCCGTCGCATCCCACTCTGCCCCCTCGAAGTGTAGTTAGGAGGGGGGGGCATGCTGATAGTCGCGGCATGTTGGAGGTTGGTTTACATGTCTTCCTCCAGTCCTTATGTTTCCTTTTGTTTCTGCGGGGCCCTCGAGGATGCGCTCTGGTCGCCTGCGTGATAATCGCAGTTTGTTCATCCGCACTCCCTGCAATAGTGCACCTGTCGGCGCTCCAAGAAATCACTTCCCAAGGCGCTGTCTGCGCGAGCGCGCTCTCGAGGGCCCTCACGCCGAGATGCCCCCGCTTGCGGTGGCCCCGCTGAGTCTGCCCGCCCTGCCTGCCTAGAGTCGCACTCCGAGAGATCCTCGCGAATGCACCTCTTGGCGTTGCCAGTGTGCCCTCTCGCTTGCGGCCGCTGGGGCTGGCCGCCTCCTCCGGCTTGGCGTACTTTTCGAAGATCTCGGCGCCGCCCAGCAAGGTCTTCGCGCTGTCTCGCAGCTGTTGGCGCTTATTCGAGCCTGCTTACCTCCTCGGGGTCGAGCGCGCCCTCGTTCTTAATCTCCTTCAAGGCAACCTTCACGACGCTGCAGAGGCGCCCCACGTCGTTCTTCGATATCTTCAGCGCCGACTCGCGCCGGCTCTGCATAGTGAAGGCCTTCGTCCCTGCTCTTTCCCGCGCGTCCACTGGGTGCCTTGAGATGAGCGCGCAGCCCTCGACCTTGCGCGTCGGGCAATGCATTGCGATCAGCTCGAGCAGCTCCTCTGGGCTCATCTTCTGGGCGGAGTCGTAGAACTTGCAGTAGTTCCCATCGATGGCGTCGTCTAGCTTCTGCGGCAGCCGGTCCGCTACGAACGCTTCCCAATGTTTTCGTACCTTGAGCTCCACCACCAATGAAGGCCCCCTGGTGCGCGGGTGGAACATCGACTCGAATCCGACGTCATGCCACCTCTCGCTGCCCTTGCCGAAGTCGCCCTTCATTTTGTCTACCCACTCTTTCATGATCTCGTCTTTTGGATGGTTCTCCTGCGCCTTCACCAGCTGCGCCCAGTCCACCTTGCACCAGAACACCCGCTGGTTCCCCCTCGAATAGGGGCCGGGGCCTTGCCGCCGCAGCTTGATGGGGGAGGCGCGCCCGCACGAGCAGGCGATGTCCTTCTTTTGTGTCCCATCTTGTCTTCCCCCAGCACGCGTTGAACAGCTGCATGTTGTCCTTGTCTACGAAATCCAGCGCCTTGAAGTGCTTTGTCTGTCCCCCCCCCATGTTCTTTGCGATCTTGTAGTCGCCCATCTCGCGCAGCTCCTTTTTCCTCAAGTTCCTTCTTGGCTGCACTCGGCGCTTCTTCGTCCTCGACGTCCATGGCTGTGCACTTCTTCAGCAGGATGTCGTATTCTTCGGCACATCTTAAGGCGTAGACCATGCCTTCTCCTGCTTTGCTGAAGGCTGCGAAGATGCCCCCCCCCCCCATTCATTTTGATGCCCTCCAGCAAAGCCTTTTGTCATCTCCTTGGGCCTCTCAATGGCCATCTTGTTCCTCTGATCGCAAGACTTTTACATGTACTTCCTCGACTTCAATGATCGCTTTTGGCGCCTGGATCTGCCCCGGGAACTGGGCTCCCCACGCGGCCCCTTCTGCGTTCCTCTTCAGTCTTCGGCATACTTGCTCCCTCGCAATGCACTGCCCCCCCCATGTCGTATCTTCTCCTCGTCGCCCCACTCGATCCACTCCTCCTGCCTGAGCTCCAGCTCGCAATCAACGCGCGCCCTCTTCCATTGAATTCCTTTGCCTCTTGGTATTTTTCGTGTCCAGGCGCGTTCTTGGCGCGCCCCCTGCGGCTCTCGATCATCTCGTAGTACCCGAGCCCCTTTTTGCAGCGGCCGCGGGGCCATAGCTGGCCGCTTCCCGCTAACAGCCTCCTGCGCCCTGCGCCCCGAGACACCCCCGCAAGTGCGCAACGCTTGCGCGCCTGGGCCGTCGCTGAGCCCGACTGCCTGTGAGGGCCGAAGGTGAATGATGGAGGTTGGAGTGCAGTGCCCACTTGCCCCGCATATCACTTAACAATTTGCGCCCTGCCCCCCCCCCCCCCCCCCCCCCCCTCCCACCCCCGCGCGCGCCGTCCGCGACCCATCTCTGCATTGCGCGTATGCTGCGCAATGCGCAACATCACCCGCCCGCCGTCTCTCCGCAGCTGTAATGGAGTAAGGGGATGTCGATGAGCATCGTGTCGCCATAATAGAAGATGCCGGCTACTGGCTACTGACAAGGACGGGAAGACTGGCTGCTGCCAGGGAGGCCTCTTCCCAAAGAAGCGTTTCCCTGCGACGTCGCTACCCGTTCTGCTCGAAATGTTCGGGCTTATTCGAATGTCCGACCATCTGGGGCAAAACGTCTAAGCTTGGTGAGGCGTTCATCGTCCATGCTGATTGACTCCACTATCTTTTCATCATCTGAAAGATGTCTCTTCCGCTTCGCCTATCCGCTGCTGGGCACTCCTGCGATGCCCGACTGCCCTGGGGTGGGCTCCCCGAGGGCGGCTTTTTCAGAGCCCGATGCAGACGCCGTCGGAAGGGCAGTGAAGGTGCTCGTCCGCGACAGCCGCGGTCTGGCACTCGACCCTGGGGTTTTTGCACTCCGAGATAACCTCGCCAATGCAACGACCCCCTCCTTTCTCAGCGGCGCCGACGCTGAAGTTCCCGTTCCACCATCCTCTCCAGTTCCGACTTGGGCGCCGCCGGCTGACACTTCTTGCCTCCCACGAAGACTATCAGCATCCCCATTGCCACCCTCAGGTTGTGGCCCCAGAACTGGTCCAGCTTCGCCATGGTCTCCTCTTTCGTGCCCCTCGGGAGCACTGCCCTGAAGTTGGGGGTCTCGTTGATTCCGATCTGTATCCTGCAAGAGGAGAAGGAAGAGGAGGAGGAGGAGGACGAGGAGGAGGAGGACGAGCGCCTCTGCCATTTCGCACCCCTTCTTGCCACGCGTGCAGGCTATGGTGTCCATCGGCACGGAACTCGCGCTACTTTCAAGGGGCTCAGGGACACCCCGATCAATAGACACACGCCCCAAGATCCCCGACGTGTTCCCATATGTTTTGGGTTTTCGTTCCCCCCCCTCATCCCATATGTTCCCATAGGTTCCGTGATTTTCCTGGGAGTCGACGATTCATTGTGTCTGTGTGTCTGTTTTCCCCCTGATACTTGTCCAGCTTTCCAACACCGAGTTTGAGGCACCAGAGCTTTCGATGCCCAGAGGGCTCTCGTGATCGCTGCCTCCAGGGCTGCTCTGTTGCGCTTCGCGCGGAACATTTGCCTGGGGAGGAGCGCGCGCCCTGGCGCAGCCCTGTAGAGGAGCAGGGGCGGGCACTAGGCTGAAGCAGGAGCAAATGCAAATTGCCCGTGGCCTTTTCCCCCGCTGGCTGAGCCAGCACGACGGATGGACGGTCGGTGTTTTGGAGGCCCTTTCCACGTGGCACCTCTGCCAGCCAGCCGAGATTGTTTTTTGAACATGAGCGAGACCGCGGCGGTCTGCACCCGTGCTGTTTTTCCAGGAGGCTCTTGCCTACGTCCTGGGAGAGGGGCGATCCTGGCCGGGTTCGGTCTCGAATCCGGCGGTCTTGTGCAGTGGACCGCCGCGGCCGCCTCCAGGCGCTCCGAGCAGCTGGAGGACGAGGCCCAGAGGGAGTGATCCCCCTCGTTCCCTGGGCGAGCGGGCTTTCGACTGCTGGTCTCACTTCCGCTCCACTCCATCCCACGACTGCTGGGAGCTGCCGGCCCGGGGCCAGCAGCACGTCTCGCGAAGGGCGTCTGGCCTGGACTCCGTTGCCAAGGCCACGTGGGTCCCTTGGCATTTCTGTGGGGGCTCCCGGCGCCATCCCAGACCCCCGACGTCGTGATTTTTGTTGTTCATGGGGTCGACCCCAAGAGACCTGGATCCCTTCCCTGGGACCAGCTTTTTATCCTGAATCATTTCCCTGACGGTCCCCAGGCCCGCGAAGGGCCTCCGGGCGGCCGAAAATAGCAACGAAAAAACACACGTCTTGGCTTTGTGTTTGGGACTGGGTTTCCCCCAAGAGGCCGAAAATAGCGAAAACCCCCATTCCGTTGTCTTTTCACAACGCGAGGGGATCTGAGTCGCCTGTGAGAAAAACTACTCGCCCCCTCTGGATGGTGACGGAGGGCAAACGGCGGGGGTAGGCGGGTTGGCGTGGTTGGGCTGGCTGGGCTGCTCGGCGACCGGCCGAGTGGGGTGGTTGCTGGACGACAGGTGGTTTCGTTAACGCCAGCACTCGCTGCACAATGACCCAGCCACAGCGGCAGCAGCAGTGCAGGCGTTGTTGGACTTGCCCTGTCCTTGGTAGTTGTGATCGCCGCAGAAGGAACAGCATTCTCAAAAACAACTTCAACACCTTCAGGTAAAAAGAAGCGTGCGCACAGAACGACGGCTGAGACGAGCGAGGCGCACACCGCCGCAATGTACGCCTAGCAATGACAAAGTAGTGATGGCTGATGGGCCTCTCTTCCACCACCACCACAATAAGTTGGAGGGGGAGGGGGTCCTCCTCCTCCTCCTCCTCCTCCTCCTCCTCCTCCTTCTCCTCCTCCTCCTCCTCCTCATCTTCGTCCTCCTCCTCCTCCTCATCTTCGTCCTCCTCCTCCTCCTCGTCCTCCTCCTTCCCCCCAGCTTATGGTGGTGGCGGTGGAAAACAGGCCCATCAATGGCATCTTCATTGCAGACTATTAATTCTACAACAGCTCCACTGCCACCGCAAAACCGAAGTGCATGTTCTCTGGGGGAGGCCTACGCCAAAGCCTAGCAGGAATGCCGCTGCAATTCTGGCGTAAGCATGATCCTGTTACTTAGATTACATCCGCTTGGAGTGGCCCGGCTTGGCGTACAATAGTGTCCGCCAGCCCCAGTAGTAGGTAACATGTCCCAGCCAAACCAACCCAGAGAAATCCCTTAGGGCTCGAAGCACGTAGGTGGGACACCAGGAAGGGCATAATATTCCCCCATCATGCCGCAAGCTGTTTTCCAGATCTGGAGATCTGTTAGCCCAACCTCACCCCCGCTCTCATCAAGCTTGGCCTGGCAGCGCGCCAATTCCTGCGCGGAGTCGTTGCTGTCAGGACTGATCATTCGAAGGTTACCTCCACAGTGCAGGAAGGACGGGTGCCATCGGTTCGAACCCCGATTCATGTATCTTCAGTGCTGTCAGCTCGTCGTCCTGGAAGATAAGCTGCGCGCGTGTACACCCCTCAAGGACCCGAGACCCTCCGCCTGCCACAACGCGCCGAGCATCCAAGGGTACGTACCCCCCCAGAATGCGCAAGAGCATCCAACAGCCAGAAAGAACATCAGGATACCCTCCCCGAACGGACCTCGATCTTATACCTCGGTCCGACCGCAATCCCAACGGGGCCTCCGAGACACGATGCTCAATCTCGAGCTCTCCCTGTCCACGCCCAGGCACCTGGGTCCCCCCCCCCAGGGTGTCCCAGTAGGGCCTCACGACACAACGGCGGCCTCCCGCTCGGCCCAACTCCGCTCCAAATCGATCCCCGGAGCCCGCCTGGTGCCCATACCGACAAGTTTAGGTGGCCGCTTAGCGACGATCAAAAACAGGTCTAACGTGAGATGACGTAGCGACCTAACGCGGTGGCTTACGCGGGCCGCCAGCGCGGCACGCCACATTTGAAGCGAGGGCGCTTCTGCGCGACCTTCTGCGGGAAGCTTATGCGCGAATGTCGGCGCAATCAAACCCTTCTTGCGTCGCCACATGTGAGCCCTACCCCCCCTCCCTTCCACGACTTCTACGGGGCGGGTGGGGGGTCTACTCTGCTCGGGAGCCTCCGAACGAGGCGACCCCCCCCACCCCTCTGGAAATCGTGGAAGGTGGGGGTAGGGCTCACGTGTGGCCACCGAAGTTTCACGAGGAGCATCCTGCCGTGGCGACGAGAAGACTCCAGGAGGCCCAAGAGCAGGACGAAAGCCGCCAGGGCGAGCCGCCGTTGTCTCGACCAGCCCCGCCCTCGAAAATGACAGCAAAAAGGTCCCGCCCTCCGACGAAGCACGATCTGGCCACCCGCTCGGAGGGTGCCCCGCACTCCTTCTCCTCCTCCACCTCGGCCACCTCCACCTCTTCCTCCCCGAAGCAGCTCCTCCTCCTCCTCCTCCTCTTCGCCCTCCTGCACCTCCCCCTCCTCCTCGAAGCAGCTCCTGTTCTCCGGGAGGCAGGGGGAGGAAGCAGAGGGGAGCGACCGCACGGTGCAGGACCAATCAACATCGAATCGGAAAACCAGAATGTGCATCGAATCGGGCCGCACCGGCACGGCGTCGGAGTCGAGCCGGATCGGTCGCGCCAGGATCCACAGCATCGCCACGCAAGCGTCACACCGCATCGGATCGTCGGAACATCGGTATGACATCGGATCGGGCTGGCTGGACTCGACATGACTCGCTTCGATCGGATCGACATGGGCCATGGAGGTGGCCCATGCGGCCGGGTCAAGCGCGGCGGGAGGTGGCGTCAGAGCAAGGCGCTCCTTCAACGCTCGGAGCGCCGCCTCGTTCTTGTCGCTCACGCCGGCCGCCTGGATCGGCCCCTCCTCCCCCAATCCTGACTTTTGTTCTCTCAGGCTCGCAAGCGATAGCACTCACCACATCATAGGTTAAAACAGCTCGAGACAGAACAGGCGATCGAGAGATGACACAAGCATACTTTTTTCGTCTTTGGAAAGTCTGCAGCAATTCTCAGGCGGCCACCGAGATCCGCAAGCAAATGTTTCACTATCTGGCTGACTGCGGTGGGCTCGGAGGGGCACATAGCTTGATGGGAACGACAGGGCCACGAAACTACGGTGGTGGCCCGGGATATCGCACTGGCCTGGCAGCACACTGGCCACCGGAGGAAGAGCACGAGGGGGCTCTGTTCCTCTCCCTTTCGTTCCCTCTTCTGGGATTTTCCGACCCGCCAAAACCCTTCCGAGGGCATATGACAGCGGCGGAAAACGCTCCAGTAGCATCCAAAGAACTGCTCGCCCTCTTCTTCCTCACCCTCATCTCTCCTGAGAACAGAAGATCGCCCGACGCCGTGTCGAAGTAAACCCATCTATGACGCTTTTCAACTTCCGCCTCCTCCATCAATCTGCCCACAACCGACAATCCAATGCATAGATGGCTGAAATTGAATCGACAACCGCCAAATCGGTATGACATCGTACAACAACGTACGCACATGTCCGCGGACCTCCGATGGCCCCATGCGGCACCTGGGACTCGTGAGTCTCTCTCGCTCTCCTCCCTCCCTCCCTCCCTCCCTCCCTCTCTCTCTCCCTTCTCCGTCCTCTTCCTCCTCTCCCGTGCTCCTCCCTCCTCTCCGTCCACCTCCCTCCTCCCGTTGCCCCTCCTGGAACGCTCTGGCACGGCTTGCTCCTCGCCCTGGCCCCGTCCCACCCCTTCCCTTTCCCAGACCTCCGACGCCATGACCTTTCCACAGCCGCTCGACCCGAGGTCTCGGCCCGGCCCCGTCCGACCCCTTCCCTTTCCCAGACCTCCGACGCCATGACCTTTCCACAGCCGCTCGACCCGAGGTCTCGGCCCGTCCTCTGGGACCGGTGTGGGGTCTTCATCCTGCAACAGATTGCCGACGGTCCTTCCCCTCCCCTCCTACCTCGCTCGTGGCGTTTGTGCTGCTCTGCCTCCTCCTTTTCCGCTACGTTCGGGGTTGCCCGAGATGCCGACGGTCCTGGGGCCCGGTGAGGGCCCCTGGAGGCCGAAACTGGTGAAAACCCACCCGACGCGACTCTTGTTCACAGCGCGAGGGGGTCTGGGTTCGCTTCCTGCCTCCTCCCCCGACGACCCCTCCCGACGCCGACGCTGCTGGCACTCGAGTCCGAGCGGGATGCTGCCGTCTCCCCTCCCAGGGGCACTTGCCCCGGCGGGGGGCATTGATCGAACCAGAGATTCTGTGAGAATGGTCAAGCTTGCCATCGCTCGGACGTTCATGCCTCGTGCATGTTTTGGTTTCGTGCGTGCGTCTTCTTGCCAGATGGCCCAATTCCTTGCCGAAAAAACACACGTCCGAGCGATGCCAAGGGGGATGATCAAATTTGAGATGCTGTATGAGAGTGATCAGGAGTAGTGTGATGAGAACCACGTGGGCGGGAGGGCCCCCCCCCAGAGGGCGGAGTAGCAACGCTCAGGAGTTTGTGCATAGCGTCTTGCTGCGTTCGCCCAGGCGACACGCTATGCTGAGGTCGGGCATGTTCCCTCACGGGCGTAGCTTGAAAGCAAAATAAGCAAATAGTCGAAATAATCAAAATAGACAAAACAGTTAGAAACATCTCCCAAGACTATCTTCTTAGTACTCTTGAATCTTCCTCATATAGAAGGACATGTCTGACTTAAACGCTATGCCCTGCGAGCGGATAGCACGTCGCTGCGCTGCGCGGGGCGGGAGTCTCGGAACGTATGGGAAGCTCGAGACGCTGACGCACGGGAGCGGGCAAAAGGATCGCGTGTCGCGCCGAAGCGAGGTGTGAGCCAAAACCCGCGGAGTGGCACGCTATCCAAAAGTCCCCGACCGTATGACCATCCCTCCTCCTCATCCTCGCCCCCCTCCCCCCCGCAGAGGTAGCAAAAAAGATGCAACATCGCACAACATCGCCACTGGAGCCCCGGACACCATCATCGTTCCGCTACATTTTTCGAGCCGCATCGATCTGTGAGGGTCCCAGGGCCCGAAACCACGCGAAACCGCCTGGTGCTAAAAAATGCAACGCCCAGATCTGAGGGTCCATGCCCTCTCCCCAGATCTCCGACGTCATAATTTGTTCGCAACGTTGACCCCCAGAGGTCTCGACCCGTTCCCCGGGACCGGTTCTTCATCCTGAATGGATTTTGGACGGTCCCGAGGCCCGATGAGAGGGCCCCTGGAGGCCGAAAATGGCGACAAACCTCCCGTCGCGATGAGCGAACATAGCGCAAATAACGACAAACATATGTTGAAGCAGAGCTACGCTGGCGAAAACACTTCGAAGGGTCTGGGCCCCCCGCAGACGGGGGGCGGGCGGCCTGGAGTGCGTCGAAGCGGGCCCGCAGGCGCACGAGGGCCACGCCCAGGGCGCGACCGCGCTCGTCCTCGCGCAAGGCGACGACGCGCGGCGGGCGCGGCGATGCGCGGCGGGCCGCCGAAGGCCGCCGAGGGCCGCCGATGGCCGCCGAAGGCCGCCGAGGGCCGCCGAACGCCGCCAGTGGCCGCCGAAGGCCGCCGATGGCCGCCGAAGGCCGCCGGAAGCGCCGCCGAAGGCCGCCGATGGCCGCCGAAGGCCGCCAGAAGCGCCGCCACGGGCCGCCGAAGGTCGCCGATGGCCGTCGGGGGCCGCCGAGGGCTGCCGCGAGGCGTCGAGCGGGGAAGCGGCACCGGCGGAGCAGAGCCGCCCCACCCCCCCGCGCGCCACCCGGGCAGCGCCGCGGCTCCGCCGGCGGGGTCGTCTTGCGCTTTATGGGCGAGCGGCCCAGATGATCCGGCGGGTGTGGGCCCAGAGGTCGACAGGCGGAAGTGGCAAGAGGGTGTGGGTGGAACAGGAGGGGTGCAGGAGGAGGCGCGTGGCACGCAGGAGGCGACGGCGACGACAGGGTGCAGCCGCGGCGACGGCGGCCTACGACGGAGATCGTTCTGCATGTTTCGGCGATCGACCCAGATTCTCCGGTGACTAGCATTACAAGGGCCCCTATTCCTCAGGGTGCGGATCTAAGTGAGACGGACCTAAACTTTGGGGATAGGGAGTCTTCTCTGCAGATGCATCCAGCCAAACCACCTAGATCGATAATCCCTGATGCGTCATCGGAGACCCACGTGAGGCTTCGTCATCAATCTGTTATTAGGGTTACGGGGCATGTGATTCTCGATGATGGGTGGGGTGGGGGGGGATCTCGCGCGGTGGCTTGCGCGGGCCGCCAGCGCGGCACGCTACACTGGAAACAAGGGCACTGACGCGGGCCCTTGCGCGGGCAACTTGCGCGCGAATGTCCGCGTTGTCGAGCCCGTTTTCTGCGTCGCTCGGATGGCAGATGTGGGAGGAGGTCTCGGGAAGCTGGCTGACAACCAAACCTGGTCACACTGGGAAGCCCCGCGTGCATTTTTGGCCGCGAGCACCACTACTGCGTCCCCTATCCGGAACTGCGCAGCCGACCAAGTCAGATTATCGGAGGGAGAGGAAGAGGAGGAGGAGGAGGAGGAGGAGGAGGAGGAGGAGGAGGAGGAGGAGGAGGAGGAGGAGGAGGAGGAGGAGGAGGAGGAGGAGGTTGAGAAGGAGGAGGAGGAAAAGGAAGAGGAGGAGGAGGAGGAGAAAAAGGAGGAGGAGGAAAAGGAAGAGGAGGAGGAGGAGGAGGAGGAGGAGGAGGAGGACAGCGTACAGGGGGGTTCAGCTCCACCCTAAGAGGAAGGCGCGGCGGCGCCTGGAGACGAAGCCGCACGGGTCGCGGTCGTCGGCGAGCACGTGTGCGGCAGGGAGGCCGCACAAGAATAAAGAACAGACGTGGCAGAAGTCCGATGCTGATGATGCGACGCGAGGGGAGAAGCAGGGGAGGAGCACGCAGCAGCAAGAGCAGAGCTCAAAGGAGCGACGGACGAGGTGGGGAACGGGGGAAGCGCCAGCGGCAAAGCGATCTTCGAGGGAGGGGAGCGAGGGTGGACGGCAGAGGGCAGCAGCAGGGAGGGCTCAAGAGACGAGGGAGGCAGATCGGGCGGGAGGGCAAGCGTGGCGCCGGGCGTGGGAGGACAGAGCGGGGCGTGCGGGGCGAAAGAAGACAGAGGGGCAGTCGAAAAGATGCATCGACGGGAAGGCATGAAAGGCGAGAGCTCAGGGCGGGACGGGGTCCACGATGCGGACCATGGGGAGGGAGGAGATCGACTCTGAGTCGACGGGCTGGCCATCAGGGTACAAGGGGAGCGCGAGGAAGTCCCTGAAAATGTCATCGAAGAACATGAGGCAATTGGAGCACAGGGCGTCGAGGGAGCAGCGGCGCGTCCAGGAGTGGTCGCCAGGACACATCCCTGCCGAGAGCGTCGCACGATCAGTGACGGCACAGAGCCAGCGACCATCCCCTCGCAATTTACTCTAGCCTGCGGCATAAGGTTCGAGGAGCACCCCTGCGCAGGACTTTGCGTTCTGATTGCCGTCGACCAGTGAGACCACTCCTCGCAATTCACTCTAGATGCCTGACACGACGGGCTCGAGGAGCACCCGTCGCCAGGACTTCGCGTTCTAACCTCCCCAGTCGCAACTCCAGGAGACAGCTGCAGCAATTCCTCGCAATTTACTCTTGATGCCTGGACACCTGGGCTCGAGGAGCACCCATTGCCAGGACTTGGCGTTCTGACATTATCAGCACTCCATCGCCTCGGTGATGAGGGTTCGAGGCCGTCGAGGTCGTCGCCGTGTGCGACTCTGGAGGGCGTCGCAATTAGGGTCGCTGGTGTACCAGGTGTGGAAGGAGAGGAGATACTGCCGTCATCGGTGTGGACCGTGGGGACCAGCCGCGGGGTGAGGCACGGTGATCGACTATCATTCCTGCCCGTGCCATGTCCAGAGCTCCGTTCTTCATCAGTGTCGTCGCAGGGCTTGCTGTCCGAGGTCTGGCTCACCGAGGTATGTCTATGACTGCCAGCGTCCACTCCATCACCGTCATAGGGATCTCCAGGTTGATCGGGATGCAGCCCTTCGTCCTCGACGTCGCTAGATGAGGTCGAAGAGGTCGTCGTGGGTTGTGGAAGGCGGCGGAGGATCAGTGCCTCAGGGGGCTGCCATTTCTTTTGCAATTGAGCATCAGGCTTGGCCAACCTTAGGTTTCTGACTGCGGCTCTCGCACTTGAGCGAAGGTCATTGGCGGTGACGTACAAACGAAAGCGCATGTTGTGGTAGATGTTGAAGGCAACTGCCAAGGTTTCAACATGCTTGAGGCCAGGGAGCCGGAGCCCCAGGCGGTCAGGAAGGAGCGGATGCATCTCATATCCCAGCGCTTGGTACACCGCTGTCCACAGCGGGCGGCATCGCATGTAATGGTACTGTCGATCGGCATGCGCATGGCAACCAAAGATACATGAGCGGGGGCCTCCAGCATACTTTATGCGCGAAGAGGTAAGCCATCCAGAACAGTAAGTTTTTATAACTGGCATGGCCCAGCTCATGGGAACCAGCGAGAGAAGACCACCAATCTCTGTCCAGGCCACTCGATCAAGAAACGGCTCCCATTCATGTACATATTTCAGAAGGCGTTGCTGCACCAACGTAGCAAGTGGGAAGGGCGTCACCAGCATCTCCCGAAGAGCACGCGTGGCTGCACGTTGAGGCTTGGGCTTCCTGTCGGTGACCTGGAGCTCCTGGGCGATGGCCTCCACGCACGTGTTATTGATCTCGGGAGGGTAAGCCGCCTCTCTGCCCGATTGGAGAACCGATGCATATCCCAGCAGGAACGACGGGGATTGCCAGTGCGTGCCAACGTGGTCAAGTGCATCTCCACGCGTTCGAATCGCCGCCAGTGGCGCATCATCATATCGGCCCTCCATGAGCGAATATCTCCATTCAGACTCCAGTTGTCGGAAGCGATCAAGAATGGTAGTGTGATTAGAGAACGTGACTAATGCAGCTCGAGCATAGGCAGCAGCGCACGAATGAAGCAGCAGAGGGACATGAGGGCCTCCCCATTCGCCAATTTGGGCCCAGCCAGCCGACGTGAGCATACCGAGAGGGGCTCTGAAGACCTGCGCGAGAATCCCCAGTTCCAGAGCAGCGTGTCGTTGAGGGAGCGGAACAAATTGGGCCACATATGAGACCACTGAGAACACCCTGGACGAGTACAGAACACCGTTGATACTAGCAGGGGCAGCCCCAGACCCAAGCAGACGGGCCCGTAATTTGAGCTTCTGCAGCGGTGCGAGCCACTGCATGTCAACCGTGACGGCGGGGCCCAGCAGGAGGCCCAGGTAGAGGACGTGGGGGGCCACTTCGAAGGCGTGCCAGGCGGGGACGAGGCACTCCACGAGAGACATAGTGTGGAGCTGGAGGGACTCGGTGAACTCCCCCTTGAGCGGGATGATTTTGCACTTCATGGGCTTAAGCTTCAGCCCTGTGAGACACTCCGTGACCACCATCACATCATACAGCACCTGAAGGTGCCTTGCTTCATATACCACCGCCCCTATATCATCAGCACACGCTCGAGCAATACCATACCCAGGAGACTCCAGGGTATCCTCCAGCGCACAGAGAAAGGGGGCCGTGCCGAGGGCGTAGAGGCTCCCTGAGAGCCCACATCCTTGAATAATCCCAGACCGCAGCCAGTATATAGGGATAAGCTGGCCAGCATGGGCCACGACTCCTTGAATAGCGAGGTACAGCCACGAGAGGAACCACATGAGGGGACCAGGGAGCCCGAGCTTATTCATCAACATCAGCAAATACTCTTGGGAGAGACTGGGGAACGCCTGGCCATAATCAAACGAGATCAGGAGGGGGTCGCACAGGTCAGAGCGAGGGCGAGCTGCGGCAAGTCTTCCTATGCCGTCGAGTTCGATCACATTGTATCCAAAGTTACGGCCGACCACAAACCCCCTTTGCGAGCAGGGGACCACCTCCTCCACCACTTTACGGAGCGAGCGATTGACAACAGATGTCATGATTTTCAGGTCGGTGTTTCGAAGCCCGAGCACTCGAATTTTGTCAGCTGACCGCGTACAGCCTCCAGAGGCCTCGTCCTCCTCCTCCGAACCTTTGGGCAAGAAGGCCTGCAACGTGACACTCGCGGCATCGAAGAGGGTCCCCCCGCCGAGCACCCAGTCGAGGGTGTTGCACAAGACGTCGACGCAGCAATCAGAGGCATTCCAGGCGGCATAGGGGATGCCGTCCACACCTGGGGCAGAGTGCCGTGCACCTCGCACAGCTCGACGGATAGCAGCTTTAGTGGGAGGTGGGACTTCGCATTGGATGGGGGCTTTCAGGTGATCCTGGAGGTAGGCGTCTATTCGGGGGCCTGGGACAGAGCCTCGGGAGAATACAGGACGCCAGTAGGTACTCAAAGCTTGAAACCGATCTTCAGGCGAGTGTGATAGGACGGGCCCGGACCGAACCGTCTGCAAG